CAGGTACCAGGAGAACATCTGTGAAGAACCTCTCCAAGAAGTGAGAAAAGGATGAGATGAAGATGATGATGAAGAGGAAGAACACAAAATAAAAGTCCAGCTGAGTAAGGTAAAGTACTGCAGTAAAGTACTTGTACTGCAGTAAAGCTATGTCAGTAAAGACTCTCAGCTCAGCCTGTGTTCCAGGTGTAATGGAAATCATCTGTTTTACATGGACATGACTGTGTCAACAAACTTTACATACACTAACACACACACACACACACACACACAGAGACATATAGATATACAGTGTGTGTGTGTGTGTGTGTGTTAGTGTATGTGTGTGTGCTGTGAAGAGTGGAAAATCAGAAGATGTTCTGGAAACATCTGCTGAGCTGATCAGTGTTGGACACTAAGGTGAAGAGGACGCACACACACACACACACACACACACTCACACACTTTATTTAACCAGGTTAAATCAAAGCTTTGTTTGTTTGTTTGTTTGTTTGTTTGTTTGTTTGTTTGTTTGTTGTAGCAGCTCAGATGGCAGAGCTCTTATTGGACGAAGCCCAGCTGGACGTCGTCCACAGTTACTGTGCGTCCATGGGCTGGGCTGAGGTGTTGACGGTCACTGACTCGGTGGTCCTGACCACTGGTCTGTTGGCCAACACTGCCCTGCTGTGTCTGTTCATCAGAGACAGGAAGTCCCTGTCTGCCTCCACGGTGAGTACCGTCCTCCAGGACCAGCGTCCTCCAGGACCAGAGTCCTCCAGGACCAGTCGGTTCTCAACCGATGGTCTGAGGACCAGTGTGAGGGCAGGGGTCGGTAGTTGGTCCGGATCTTTCGATCCCTGACGTTTGTTCCCGTGTCTCCGGCAGGTTCTGGGGTTGAATCTCGTGGTCATGAACTTCATTTACCTGGGAACGTTGTTCTTTAACGTAACGGTCGCTCAACATCAGGGAACGCTGAACGGACGCAACAGTTCAGGTGAGGCTGTCACAGGGAGATCGTTAAGACCAAACCTGTGATTGGACCACGTGTCCTGCCTTTCAAAGCATTCGTTTCCTCAGAGCAGAGGTCAGAGGTCAAACACCTGGAGCGTCGACCCTGAACAACGTCGTCGTTCCACTTATTGTTGTAAATGTTTTTTTCCTAAAGGAATGACATCATCACACCCTCCAGCAGATGGCGCCATAGACAGCAGGTATAACAGGAGGTTAATGGAGACCTTCAGCATGTTTAACGCAATAGGCTGCCCCCTGCTGTTGACCTGCATGTGTGTGGAGCGTTACCTGGCCGTGGCGAGGCCGGTGCTGTACCTGAGGGTGAAGAGGTGGGAGAACCGCACCGTGGTGTCGGCGCTGGTGTGGGGCATTACTGTCGCCTTCTGCCTGGGGACATGTAAGTACTACCTGTACACAGTACTACACAGTACTACACACACAAAGTACCAACAGTAACCTGGGTACGTGTGTGTGTGTGTTTTGGTCAGTCTTCTGTAGAAACGTGAGGGTCTTGATGACAGCCGTGTCGGCCATCATCTCCGGCCTCTTCATCGTCATGCTCCTCTGTCTGGGAGGAGTCGTCCACTCACTGCTGAGGCCCGGCCCCGCCCACGCG